CTTTTATTTCTTATTTTTTCACTCTTTATTCCTTTATTCACAGTGGGAAATCTCCTGATCCCCAGTTTGCCTTTAGGCCTAGGGCAGGCAGCTTTCTCCCCTAGTGAATGCAGCAGGTGTTGGAGCTCATTTCAGAGGCAGGGGTTTCAGTGGGCGCTGTCGGCCGCGGTGACGCCAGGGCTGCTGTGCCGCAGTTGTGTTGGTGACGGGTGGCTCATGAGCTCTTGAGCTGAGGAAGAGCTCGCCTTGTGAAGCCGCCGTGCAAGGTTTCTGCTCCCTGGGAGCTGTGGTTTCCCTAGAGTGAGGGGTTTTGTGGTGTCACCGTTGTTGCAGGGGATCCGTCTGTAGCGCAGGCAGCAGCTGCTGCGGATGCAGAGCGGAGATCGCGCTCCAAAGGGTGGTTTTCATGGCAACCCTTCTTACAGCTTTGTGCAGAGCAGTGATTGAACACTTGTGTTCTCCAGCACATCACTGAAGAGCCCCCAGCGTTTTGTGCCTCTCAAGTGTTTCGCTGGGGTTTGGGAGCCCGGTCACTGCGTGCTCTGTGCTTCACGGGGCGTTGTGCTGGGGACGCAGGGACTGCGCTGGTCCCGTCCCAGCAGCTCCTGCCACGTCCAGAGGTCTCCACAGCGCCCGTCCCGCTGCGTTACTGCTTGGTTTGGGGTCTTTTCTGTACCTTTTTTCCTGAAAGAGCGAGAAGTGAAACGCACTCGTGTTATTTTCTTCCCCAAAACATCAGTACCACAGCGTTTTCCAAGGTCTGGTGTTGCGTGTCCCAGTGTTAGCCCTTTTGTATTCCAAAAATAGAGGTGATGATGGAGCCCATCGAAGGGGAAACCCGGCATCCTCTGAAGTCCCTTGGAATTGAGGTGGTCCAGGGGGGTTTGCTGGGTCTGTGACAAGGACATCGCTCTGTAGTGACCCTGACAATTTGTCGCCCCCCTGTTCCCCGTAGACGGCCGTGATTTCGGTCCCTGCCAGGACGCTGATGGAGAGGCCGGAGATGTGAACTGCAGTGCTTTTTCCCTTTCCTTCCCCTCCCACAGGAACAGTTCTTACAAACGAGGTCTGCTTTGTCCTGGCTGTCACAGGCTCTTGTCAAACCTAACGTGAAAGACATCGGGGAAGCGATACCCAGATGATGGGGATGTTCCCTGGGGGATGGATGCTTTCTGGAGCCTGGGGATGTCCTGGTTGTGTGGATGCGTGCCCAAGTGGAAATTAGAAGAAGCTTTAGTTTCCAGCTGCAGGAGGGGTTAGACAAAGGACGTGGTACGAGGGAAGTGTACTCACCCCTAAATGTTATATCTGAAAAAGGGACATCAAGTAAACTGGTGTAGTGGAGCTCTAGGAAAATAACAACAGCAAAGTGACCTCTACTTTCAGAGAGGTGTAGATGAAGTTTAATTCAGAAATATCGTGTGGTGCTGTGGTGCAGCGGAGCTTGGCTCCCCTGAGCTCCAGTGCCTGGGCTGGGATTTGTCTGGTGTTTGATTCCCGTCCATCCTCGGTGGATTTTCAGTCTGGGAGTTAAGGGTCACTCTTCTGCAGCCTTCGGAAGCTGCCGCTTTAATTCTCGAAGGTGATTAGGATCAACTGGCACTGAGTAATGCTGTTAAAGATCCCTTCCCCAGCCCCTCCGCTCGTCACTGGGGTGGCACCGACTGCCCCCTTCCTGGGTGCTCCCATCTGGGAACAGAAACGCGTGGTGTTTATTTTCATGATGGTTCCAGCTTTGATTGATTCCTGCTCCCAGTGCCTGACGTCTCATCCCAGTTCAGCGTCTGCAGGCTGTGACAGGGCTCTGTGCGGTTCTGGGGACGCATCGCCCGTCGTCCCGTGCTGCCCCTCACGTTGACACCCAACACAGAGGTGTTCAGAGCTCTGGGCAGTGCTGATCTGCTGGAGCAGTACAAAACGAGCATTTTCCTGCCTCTGAGGACAGAAGGGAAACGATCTTATCTGCTGCCACATGAGGCGTGGGGTCGGTCCCACTGATGCCTGCTGCTGACCGCAGCCCCTCGCAGGGGGCTGTGCTTGCTGTGAGTCGTGCAGCCAGCCTTGGGAAGGGCGGTCACGCTGTGAGAAGATACCTAATGTGGTTTACAATCCGAAATAAGAGCGGTGCTGTACTGACACGCTGTTGTGTGAAGCCCTAAAGACGAAGGGTTCCCCAGGACAGCAGCTCTTTGAGTCGCGAGGAGTTTCTAAGGTCGGGCTGCAAGCAGCAGATTTGGATTTCAGGCTCTGATTCCTGCTCAGTACATCAGTAGGATCTGTGTGAACACACCATCTGCCTTTAGTGAAAGGGAATTGGGTGTGAACTGTTCACAGAACTCCCCATCTGCTGGGCAGCTTCAACCTGGACCGTCAAACACCCCGTTTCTGTTTACACTGTGAACTGGTTTGGAGCAGCCATTGAGTGGTTTGAGCTCAGCGTTGCCTCGCTGGGGCGTCTCGGCGAGGATGGCTCTGGTTCCTGAGTAATTCCATTCTGACTCCTGAACCGCGGCTGCTGCAGCAGAGGGTGTTCTGCAATGCAAATACTGACATGAAGTCCTCACACGGGTGGTTGTGCGGCCCTGCGTTTCCTGCCTGCTCCGGGGATCCATTAGCAAACACTCCGAGATGTGAGCTTTCCCTCTGATATCGAGACAGGGCTGTTCTATGAGATGTTAATTCATAGCTGGTTTAGAAACTGTGTTTACACAGGGAATGTACTTCATCCGAACCTGCACGGAAACGCTGCTGCTCTGCACTTCAGAAGAACAACTTGCCTAGAGAAAGCGCTCGCTTCGTGCGGTTTGTCTTGATATTCTAATATTTGGAAACTCACTACAGAAGGGAAGCTGGGCTACATTAGGATTAGATCCATGGGATGTGGGATTAGATCCATGGGATGTGGGATTAGATCCATGGGATGTGGGATTAGATCCATGGGATGTAGGATTAGATCCATGGGATGTAGGATTAGATCCATGGGATGTGGGTTTAGATCCATGGGATGTGGGTTTAGATCCATGGGATGTGGGATTAGATCCATAGGATGTAGGATTAGATCCATGGGATGTAGGTTTAGATCCATGGGATGTAGGTTTAGATCCATGGGATGTAGGTTTAGATGCATGGGATGTAGGTTTAGATCCATGGGATGTAGGTTTAGATCCATGGGATGTAGGTTTAGATCCATGGGATGTAGGTTTAGATGCATGGGATGTAGGTTTAGATCCATGGGATGCAGGATTAGATCCATGGGATGTCTTATGGGCTGGGTGTGCATGTCTGAAACGTCCCCGTCCCCTCTCTGATGCCTTCTCAAGGGGAGACGCTGTGTGTGAGGCTGCCGTTGTGTTTAGGGGTCTGGGTGTTGATGAGACAGCCCGGGACCGAGTCTGCAGCTCTGGGTGCATTGGTGGGTTGTCTTTGGGGGTTTTTCTTCTTCGTTTTGTGAGAAGCAGATGAATTTTTAAAAGCAGATGTGGGAAGGCTGATCAGGAAGGAGGCAGAAGCTGGGAGATTTGGGGGAACCGTTTGCAGCCGCTTTTCCCCTTTAAGCAGCACAGTGTGTGTGGTGACTTCGGGTTGTGATCCATCATCTGGGCTCTTCAGTCACAGAAATCAAACTGCACTTTGGTCGTGAGGTTCCCGTGGCCCTCACGGCTCCTTACAGATGAACCAATGCAGAACGGGATCCTCCTTCAGCTCCTGGGTGCAGTAAATTTGGGACCCGCGAGGTTCCTGGTGGTTCATTGCTGCTCCAACAGCTCGGGCCGTTGTCTCTGTGTGTCGATGCTTGGGATAGGAAATTCAAAGCCCAGAGACCATTAATTTCTCTGCTCTGACCCCCTGAATGTCTCAGGGTACCGAATTTCTCCAGCAAAGCCAAAGGCCTCGTGTTCCTCCGATGGGTGCATGCCCTGGGCCTTGGAGGGATGGAGCCTGAGCCGCTGCCCTTTGCTGCTCAAGGGCTCTTTGTGCTTCCCCCGCCTGTGTGAAGTGTTTGTTGGCACCAGGGATTTTCTCTTACCCACAACATTCACGTTGTGCCTTGGTAGGGTAATAGAATTGAGGATTCTTTATGCAACACGGCATGAGTGCATTTTCCTGTAGATATCGCTGTTAAAAACACAGCGAGTGCATTGCTGTGGAGCTTCAGGGTCCAGGATTTAAGGGCCCTGTGGATGAGTGGCAGTGGTTTTCAGCGGGGTTAACAACTGGGGTTCTCTTAGGATCTTCTAGTGAATGCAAGTCATTTTATAGCCAAAATGTAGGCATTTATCCGTGTGTGTGCGCATGGGTATGGCCACAGAAAGGCTTCCCTGGGACAAACCAAGGTGTTTAATTACGAAATGCTGGTGTGACGTGCAGCTGGGTCGTCCCAGTGCAGTCATGGAGCCTGTGCTCCTGCTTTGTTGGGGAAGGGGATGTCTGTGGATATTCAGCTTTTTTGCATGAATTCATATCTGTTTTCCTATCTAAAATAAAATCTTTAAACCCCCCCCCACCAACCCCTTGCTCCCTTTCCCTGCGTGTGGGCAGGGACAGGAGCGGAGCGCTCTGTGGAAAGCTGCCATCCCTCCTATCGATCAGTGCCACTTCTTTCTGCTTTAAAATGTTTAATACGATTAGCCACTGGGCTCCTCAGCATTTTCAGTGCCTGACCCCACCACAAATAGACCCGGGATCTGAACTGCTGATGGGGTTTGGGTATTTTTAGGGCTGCGCTCGCAGCGGTGATGCAGTGGAGGATCACGAGATGCGGTGAGCGCAGAGCAGCAGTGGCAGCGCTGGTTGTTTGCTTCGTATCCACGCAGCACCATCAGCCCCTGTGGCAACAGGAGGAGAGGGCAGGACAAAACAGAAAGAAAATAGTTGTATTTTATACTTTTTAGGCACGTAGGTGCTGTCGTGGCACGGTTACAAAGTGCCTACACACAGCACGTGTAGACTACACTAAATCTGGATTAAGCGAATGCCTCTTTCTAGGCAAGCACCAAATCTTGCTGGTAGCCGGGGTGTAAAACGCAGTGCCTTGATCTGTGCTGTCACTTCATGGCAGGAGAGCCCCACGGTGCAGCGGTCACGGGGTTGTTTGGGGTGGAAAAGTCCTTTGACTTTGTCCATTGAGCTCCAGCATGAACCCAGCCCTGCCCGCGCCTGCACCTCAGCAGCACGGGGGTTGTTGGGTGGACGGTGCTTGGCAGAGGCCGGGGTTTGCAATGCCTGATGTGCAGAACTTGGGAAGAAAGTCCCTGCTGTGGGGCACCGTCTGAAATGAGGGTAAGGACTTGAGTGTCCACGGGTGCCTTGCGAGCTGCGTGCTGTGTCTCAGAAATTAATAGGAAGCCTGATGGTTGTTTTCCCCCGGCAGGATTCCAGGGCGACTGAACGACAGGAGAACCCCCCTGGGGGAGCTGAACTGGATCTTCACGGCCATCACGGACACCATCGCCTGGAACGTCCTGCCGAGAGGTACGGCTGGGCTGGGTGGGTTGTCATCCGAGTGTACCTGAGGAGTGAGAGAAATGAGACACCGAAATGGGCAGAAAATTAAAGGCTGGCATTGAAAGAACAGACTGGACCGGATCTTGCGGATAGTTAAATTTTATGCATTCGCTCTTTTCTACCAGAAGAATTTCAGCAACCTGATTATTACAAACCTGAAGGTTGTTGTTTTAGTGCTAACACGATTGCTTTAGCTTGACTAATTTTCTTCCTCACTGTATTTGCAAAGAGCAATCTGTTTTCCCCCAGCCTTTGTCAGCACCATAAATAAAGGGGTTTTTTCCTGGCTGCTGCTAGGACAGCCTGGGCTTCCCAGGGGCGTCTTGTCCCATTTCTCTACCTGCGTTCTGCTCTCAATTTGCACTTCTGGAGCATGGGTGGCCGAGTTTGTAAACGCTTTTCCAACTCTGCTTTCTAATGCTCGGTACAAGGTAAATTCTTCTTCTCCTCTGCAGAAGATAGCGCATTTGCTGTCTTTTAGGATTCATTTTGGCTTCCCCTGAGCACCTCAAGCTGCAATTACCAGGTGTGTGGGTCTTGATTCAATAGCACACGCAGGTCCTTTTCTCCCTCAGTAACTGCCAAAAACTCGGTCAGGCTGGGTGTAAGTGTAACACCAAAAGGGGAATTTCATCCAGCAAAGAACCTGAGGTAGAAAGTATTTAATTCTGTTAATGTGAAATGGAAAATAACTGGGATGCTCTAAGGGAGCTCTGGAGGCACATTCCCTTCAGTAGCTGTATCACATCACTGCAAAACTTGTCGATTCCTTGGAAGTGGAACACAGTATTGCCATGTCGTTATGTTTGAAGCGCTTTCTGCGTGTTGCCTAAGGTGCTTCAGTCGATGCAATCTCTCTGCAGACCTTTTCCAGAAGCTCTTCAGACAGGACCTGCTGGTGGCCAGTTTATTTCGGAACTTCCTCTTGGCCGAGCGCATCATGCGCTCCTACAACTGCACCCCGGTCAGCAGCCCCCGCCTCCCTCCCACCTACATGCACGCCATGTGGTGAGTCCCTTCGGCCCCTCGTTGCTGGTCATCGTGTTGGCCTGATGAGAAACCAACCGTACTTTGTGCTCTGTGCCTGTGGCCCCATCCCTTTTGTTGGGTCTGAATGAAAAGCCCTAATGAAATTGTTGCTAACCTCACATTTTCTTCAGCTGCTCAGTGCATTGGAAATCTTGCAGGATAACGGGACTATTGCAGTGGGAACTTGGAGACCAGAGCACGTGGTGTCTCTGCAGTGAGCAGTTTAATCTCACCTGCTTGAAAGAGTCCAGCAGGGCCACAGAGATGCTGGAGGGAGTGGAGCATCTCCTGCTGAGGAGCGGCTGAGGGAGCTGGGGCTCTTGAGCTTGGAGCAGAGGAGCCTGAGGGGTGCCCTCATTCCTGGGGATCCATTGGGAAAGGGCAGTGTCAGGAGGAAGGAGCCAGGCTCTGCTCTGGGATGGCCAATGCCAGGACAAGGGGCAATGGTCCCAAGCTGGAGCACAGGAGGTTCAAGCTGAAGATGAGGCCAAAGTTTGTGAGTGTGAGGGTTATGGAGCATGGCCCAGGCTGCCCAGAGAGGTTGTGGAGTGTCCTTGTGTGGAGACACCCAAAGCCCTGGCCGTGTTCCTGTGTGACTGCTCTGGTGATCCTGCTCTGGCAGGGCTTGCACTGAGGGAGCTTTGCAGGTCCCTTCCAACTCCTGACATCCTGGGATGCTGTGGTCCCCGTGCCGATGCCCTAAGGAGATTTCAGGTGCCGTAGCCACCACAGATTTGTTGCTGCTTAAATCCGTGTGGTCCTTTGCTGATCAGGTCACTGGATCAGAGATGCAGCAGTGGGTGGCAGCGCGATGCCCTCCCCAGATGTGTTTGAGAAGAAACTTCTCTCAGTGAGGGTGACAGAGCCCTGGCCCAGGCTGCCCAGAGAGGTTGTGGAGTCTCCTTCTCTGGAGACATTCAAAACCCGCCTGGACGCCTTCCTGTGCAACCTCATCTGGGTGTTCCTGCTCCGGCAGGGGGATTGGACTGGATGAGCTTTGGAGGTCCCTTCCAATCCCTAACGTTCTGTGATTCTGTGATTCTGTGATTCTGTTTCTTCTCCGTGTATGTGTAATATTAAGGTAAAGCTGTACTTCAGTTCAGCCGTGTGATCTCTCACTCCAAATAGAAAATAAATTGGGCATCTGCTGCCTTATTTCCCCAAAGTAAAGCAAGTCACCTGCGAGTGCCAAGGTGATGAGAGCTGAGGGCCCCGGGGAAGAATTTGTGACTCTTGTTGTTCAAGTAGGGGAGATTTTGTGCTGCAGGGTTCATCTGCTTTTACCGCTGCCTTTAGCATGATGAATGGAAATGGAGGTGGCGCAGTTATCCGAAAGCTCTTAAATGTGGTTTTGACGATCAGACAAATGTCCTGTGATTAATAATAGTAAAAATAATAACAGCGGGAATAACAGAAACACTTGCTTTCATTTTTTTTTTGTTAATTCGGTGTGATTAAGGACAGACCAGCACAAAATCTGGCTAAGTACAGAGTGGTGCAGTCAAGCTAAGGTAGCTCCTGTAGGAGGACGTGAGGCTGGGTGTCTTGCTAAAAGGCCAATAAAACGAGAGGTGAGCGGAGCTGAGTGGGCTTTGTTTACCTGCGCTTTCAAACTCCTTTGGATAAACTTCCTCCATAAAATTGTGGAGGAAAATGAACGTAGAGGGGGTGTGAAGTGGTGATCAGGGTAAAACTGAGAGCAGCATCGCTGAGTTCAAACGATGGGGTTGAGTTTCTGCGAGCAGCAGAGACGAGCGGTGCTGAGCCCCGGCAGCGTTTGCGGCTGCAGGCGGTCGCGGCGGAGGCGTTCGCTGGTTGCAGAGTTGCTTTAATCATTGACAAGCACAGAGAGGCCACAGGGGAGGCTCTGGTGGGGTCTTTCTTCGGCAGCCTGGACAAACGTGGTGCGAGTTGGCGCGTGTGACGCTCTCGGGTGCTTCGGGTGAGCAGCTTGTGAGGAAAGGGGCTTCGGTCAGTTGTAAATGGTTGTGCCATGGTGTCACCTGCGGGATGGGGACGTTTGCAAGTGAATAGGAAACCCCCTGGATTTCCTGCAGTGCCTTGCGGGATGGGGCACAGCGTGGGCTGCACGACCTGCGCTTCCCCCTGCAGCAGAGGGGGTCGTGCCCCTGCAGAAAGGTTGACGTTAAACCAGTGCATTTCTCCAGTTATTTATAGCTTGCTTACTGCCAGCATCTTAAAAACCGGTATTTCCAGTTCCTGATGGGACCATAAGTCATTCTCATTGCCAGCACATTAAAAGCCTGCGTTTCTGGACTCCTATGGGAGCGACACTGGCCGTGGGGCTGGTGCAGAACCACGGGGCTGAAACTGGATCCCGTTCCCCATCTCTCACAGATGGATTCCAGCAATGCCTTCATTTCTTTGCTGCTATGGAAGTTTTATTGGTGCGAATGGTTGTAAACACCTCGGGAGAGCCCCTCACCCGTGCCATGGGATCATGGCATTACTGGGGCTTTTGTCCTCGTGACTCCCAAACCCAAAGCAGGCAGCGCATCCCTTGGCACGCTTTGCTCAGTGTCCTCCAAAAATTAACGCGGTTTGAAGCAAACCCGGCAAAGGGGAAAATTCCACTTTTGTCGGAGGTGGCTCAGTTCGTTATTGTGAACTTTTCGTAGGGACAGAATTAGAAACTAATTTAGGGCTCGCTTAAATATTTTCTAAAAATAATCGTCTGCGCTCACCCGTCACCTTTCATTCAGGAATTTTCCGCTGGATCCCTGATCTGCGACCTCCAAACCCATTTTTCTGCTCACGTGAAGTGGGAGCCGTGGCTGGAGGGCAGCGGAGTTGGTCAGGGGAAAGCAGGGAAGCTCCCGGCAGCGCTGTGGTGACCGCGCTGCATCCACGTCCGCGTTGCTGCGTGGGTGATGGATGATCCACCAGGGTTTCTGTGGTAGCTCAGGATTGACCACGGCCGCCCCTTTGCAGAGCTGAAGGCTCTCGGCTCTTTATCCTTTCTGCTTGCTTTGCCTCTGCTGTCTGACGGCTTTCCCTGGGTCACCTCTTGCGCTATGAGGAGCCAGAATGGTTGTGGTAAGCGCAGAGGTTGCTGGAGACGGGACCTTCTGATCCGTTTGGTTTGGTCCCTTTGCAAACAGCTCTTTACAGCGTTGGCCCATTAAGCTGCTGGTCAAGTCAAGCCACTGGGGAGAGCGCTGTGACCTCTCCTGTTCATTTTCCTTTTCACCTGAACAAGGAAAGCGAAACCTGTATTTTCTGAGGGAAAATGTGACCCCCAAGCTGCCAACCTTGTAATTTCACCATGTTTAGGAATGGGGAGAGCTGATCCCTGTGCCCTCGCCCCCTTTGGCAGGCCCTGGCATCCTCGGCATCCCCTTCCTCTCATTGCCGTGCCCTGTTTTACCTGCTGGGCTGCAAACCCCTCCGGGCAGAGGCTGTTTGCGTTCCTGCTGTGGGTTACAGGCGCTGCTGTAACACGAGCATTAATATTACTATTAATATTAATAGATCTATTGATTGACGGCGCCGCTCGACTTGGAGAGCCGCTCGTCGGCTGTGCCGAGAGCAGGAGCCCCGATGCTCAGTCAGCAGCTCCGTCTCCCTCGTGATGGATCACAGTTTAGACGGCACTGCCGCTGCCAGCAACTCCTGCCCACGGCCTTTGGAAAGACCTAATAACGTGCTTAGGAAATATTTCCTAACACCGGTCGTATATTAAAACCAAAGTACCTTAATTATGCTTTGGAAGAGCTATGATTTGTCCCTGATAGAAATGCTGCAATATGCCCACCGTGAAATTCTCGTTGAAAGGAAGTCGTAATGTACTGCAAATAAAACAGGC